TTAATGCCTACAAAAATGGCTGGTAGGGACTACAACGAGCTTCTTCCCGGGTTCGTGATGTCACAAACCCAGATAAACCCCGCCCCCGGGAACACGCAACGAAGGGGTCGAGGCCATGCTGCGCTGCTTTAGAGAAGCGCACTAGAGGCGGTTTAGCCAATCACAACACACTGGGCTAGCTAACCCATTGCCTATTTCTGAGGGAGGGGCTTCATAAAAGCAGGAAATGATCAGCACGTTTCTCAGAGAAGGGACAGAGCGGTGTGGAATAAAGGTAAATTATGTGAAAAATAATGCGTTATTTTAAAAATGAAGCATTAACACATGTTAGACTGCACCCCATAAACACAATCAAGCCTAGAAGAAAACCAGTGAACCACCCCTTTAAGTGAACTGAGCATGTCCTTCTTGTGTCCATTCAAATCTCTTACTGCTAAAGCTAACACAGTTTAGTCACTTTGTCAGGGTGTATTAGTGGTTCAAACTCCCTAGAGCAAGTATCATGGTAAGTCGGTATCAGCTCTGTCTGTCCTTCAACAGGCCGCTCGCTGAAAGATAATGCTCCTCCTCAGGAGAGTATGAGTGCTATTAAAGTATTCGATGCTAACAACATTAACCACAAGGTCATTCAATTTAGCCGTTCCTCAGGAGCACCGCTGCTGTCTATTTCTCCAGAACAACCCTGATGTTTGTTTAAAGCATCAGCTCTGCTTAATAAAACACCAGCTGCTTTCAGATTCAATGCTTCAAATAATATCTGAATAATGCATTGGATGGTGATGGTGTTTTTAGCCCCAAGCTTCCTGGAAGGGGGTGAATGGGCAATAGGGAGACCATAGTGACAGTTGAGTCAGTGAAAAGAGTGATTCAAATCCCACTCAGCTGGAAGCACATGATATGAAGTTTCACAGAGAGAATGACTTTGGGTCTTCATTCTGTTTTCTCACGTTTAAAATGGCACATATTTAACTATACTATACTATAATATAATTTCATATAATTAATATAATATAATATAAATATATTAAGTGCCAGTTCATCACAACAGTTCATACTTCTTATGACAGGCTGTCAAAAAATTCTCACTTTGACCTAATTTACATTCACAAAACTAAAAAAAGTGAATAATCACACTTTAATTTGGCAAACTAGAGAATAATTTGTTGTTGCCACATCACTGCACTATTTGCTACTAGTGGCAGATATTTACACTACAGCTCAAAAGTTTGGTCAGTACATTTTTTAAAGAAATGTCACCTTTTTATTCAATAAGGATGCATTAAATTGATCAAAAGTGACAAAACATTTAGAAAGTTAAAAAAGATTTATATTTCAAATAAATGCTGTTCTTTTAAACTTTCTGTTAATTATTAAAAAAGTATCATAGTTTCCATAAAACTATTAAGCAGCACCAACTATTTTCAACATAGACAAAAATTAAACAGGAATGTGAAACTAAAAACTGCAATTATAGAAATAAATTATATTTCAAAATACATCAGAATAGGAAACAGTTATAATACTATAAATTAACTACAGGTTTTGTTGTACATAAATTGTTTTACCATTTACTGCACATTGTTTTTCTTCTCTTTATTTCCCTACAGCGGCTAATGAATGCACATTCACAGAAAACACTTCCTTACTTCCTCGTTGAAAAATAAGGTGGATAATGCATGATGAATAAATGAAGGACCATGCAAACAGACAAATCAGTGCAGATATAGTGTACCACTATGTCACCTGCAGCTTTCAGCAGTTTTGTTATGCTCGGTGTGTTCCTCTAATCTGGCCTCAGGTTTAAATGCAGTATTCCATCACCAGGGGCTAGATTTTAGCCCATTAAAACATTCAGGTACTTCATTAACATTTTATTAACAAAATTACTCCACACAAGCAATCAGGACCAATACTTGCCTTTTCTGACCTCACTCCTGCTGAAAACCTTCCAACACACACAAACACCTCACAACATCAAAAACATATACTCTCATTTCTTTTAAAATGTATTTATTGATGCGTTAGTCATAAGAGGTTTGAATCTGTTAACATGTGAAAGAGAAAATAAGTGAAGAGTAGTAGCTAGAAGGAGGAATGGTTGATAAATTTTAAGTTTAATGCAGTGATTGTGTGGGTGTTTGTATTTGTTTGTTCAGGGGCTTCAAGGAAGCTGACAGTGAGGCTCATAAATTCTTGACAGAAGGTGCTCGGGAAGGTTTTCGGTTGGAATTGAGGATGTTTACCGAAAGCTTCTGTTTACACAAAAAAAACGACACCAGCAGTGTGAGAAGCGCCTTTCTAGTTTTCGTGAACAGCAGTCAGAGAATTTGCTCCTCGGTGTAGGATTTAATTTTTTGTATTATGACTGAACAATGTTCCTGTTTCTTTTGCATAATACAAAAGAGAGAGATGATTTGGGAATCAATTCTTGCCAACAGCACCAAAGGCAATTATCGTGCGTGTATATGAAAGAGATATAAAGGGAATGAAAGAGAGAATGAAAGATAGAGAGAATGAGGAACTTAACTGTGGTTAATGTTTTTTTTTTCAGCCAGTCTTGGGGCCTGCTTTCCGAAGCAAGGTAACCATACCCAGCCACTCCCATATCCCCTCATGTCGGCCTGCCTCTGGCCAATCAGAGCCTCTGACTGGCCTATCATTTTGTTTCACTGGTTTTGTCAATTGTATATCAATGTCTTGTCTCTGCATACTGCCCGACCACAATGGATGGGTGTTGTCTGCGTGCCATGTGCATTAGCCGCTGTTCCTGCCAGTCTTTATGAGCGAGAGAGAGGGGGTAGTGAAGCTACATGTGCATTAGATTGCGCCTCTTGTCCTTGGAGGCAGTTTGGGAATGCGTAAACGTATTTGTGCTGCTCTGTCAGAAGCATCATGCACTTTTAAACTGAGGGGGCCCGTACAGTGTCAAGGTTTGGCTGGTTAGCATGATTCAGTTTGCCCCTGCTGGTAGATGCTGTAACTACACCATCTGTCTGAATCTTTCTTCAATGACGGTCATTTGCAAGTATCTGTGGATTCTGATAATAAATTGTAGGCAAACATATAAGTCACAAATGTTTCACTATATTATAGAATCACCCTTTTAAAACAGATTTTAAGAGCTTTCCTCACCTATATGTGGCCTAATGGTTAGAGAGTCAGACTCGTAACCCAAAGGTTGTGGGTTCGAGTCTCGTACCGGCAGGGATTGTAGGTGGGGGGAGTGAATGTACAGTGCTCTCTCCCACCTTCAATACCATGACTGAGGTGCCCTTGAGCAAGGCACCGAACCCCCAACTGCTCCCTGGGCGCCGCAGCAAAAAAATGGCTGCCCACTGCTCCGGGTGTGTGTTCACGGTGTGTGTGTGTTCACTGCTGTGTGTGTGCACTTTGGATGGGATAAATGCAGAGCACTAATTCCGAGTATGGGTCACCATACTTGGCCACATGTCACGTCACTTTTTTTCACTTCACTATACATTTTTCCCATCTTCTGAACTCTTCTTAACTAACTGATTAAATGAAATGTCTGTCATCATTTACTCACCCTCACGTCATTCAAACCCATTAATTGTTTGTTTTTTGACACAAATGAAGATATTTTTAATATTCACTCATACTTTTTGTTCATCCATTGAAAGTCCATGCAACCAAAACTTTTACACATCAAGAATTACAAAAAACATAGTAAAATTAATCCATATGTACCAAGTATTTAATCCAATTTTGAATGTTTAATCTACAGTAAGCCTTCTGAAGAGACATGATTGCTTTATAAGATTTAATTTCGCATATGAACATTGATTAACACACATACATAGAGCACATCAAATATGGTATAGACGGTAGCTCAGATGTGATTATTTGACACATGAGAAACTAGTGAGTTTTGTGTGATTACTTTTGCAGTGTCTTACGCTGCATCTGAAATTGCATAATCTCTTGAGTAGTTACTTATTTTGAATAAAGAAATTGCTTCGGGACTGCTAAAAAACTTTTTTATATAGTATATATGTGTGTAGTATGAATGTAATCTGGGCATGCTATATTCGACATGTTGTCATTTTCACATGACCTACCAGCATCAGTTCACTTCACTGGCATTCAGAAATCCTCTCCTGCGGCCTCATGGGATAATAATTGGATGTGCACTTCAGAATCTTGCCTGAAGTAGTAGGTCATCTGGGTACTTTTTGCCTACTCTTTTATGAGTACTGTGAATTCCATCATACTGCTTTTATCATACTGTTTTTCGCCTGCTACTGTATATTGTAGGGAAGGATGTTATTTCAGGTGCAGCCTTAAAAATTATATGAGGGTTAATGATGATAGAATTTTCATTTTTGGGTGAACTACTTTTTTAAGTTGTTAAAAAGTGCTTATCTCATAGGGCATAAAATCAGCCTGAACTACCACTGGTGCCCCCCTCAAAAAACATTGTACATGATGCCCCTGACGTCTGTAGCCAACTTTTTAATTGCTTTTCTCTTCTAGCTTGTATAAACATATTTTCACGTGTATATATGTGAATTTGCATGCAGAGGTACATGCTCATGCAGGATGTGTGCCAGCATGTGTGCTCGGAAAGTAAGAAATGCCACATCAGATGACAACGGCGAATGGACAGGCAAAGCAAAATGTAGCTAATCTCCTACAGAGAAATTTTGGCTCCATTCTTTTTTTTTCTGATCTATAGATCAGTGCTTTTCCTTTTCCTTAGTTCCCTCTTTTCGACTAAACCTGAGATCAATAACTTTGCAGGGAGCAGCCACTCGCTCTTGTGCTCCTTTCTGTTGTAATAAGTCTAACATCTCATGCCATTTTTCTCTCTTCCTCCTTTTCACCCCATTCTCCTCCACCGTCTGTCTGTCTGTGAATGCATTTGCACTGTTGCATGCGTGCGTGTGGTCATGCATGACCGAATGGATGGGCGCGTGCTGGTGCCACACTCTTCACATTCCTCAACTCCTCCTGGCCCCCTTTCATCTCTCTCAAACCAGACCTGGAGCGTGGCGGAGGTCACATGATCTCCACCGATGACCTGGAGTACCCGCGTGAATATCGCACGCTGGGAAACAGCACGCGACGCTTCTCCAACGTGGGGTTGGTCCACACCTCTGAACACCGGCACACGGTCATCGCCGCCCAGAGCCTGGAGGCCCTCACGTTGTGCTGCCAAATATTTTTTGGGAAACTGCGATACTTTTTTCAGTATTCTTTGATGAATATAAAGTTAAAAAGAACAGCATTTATTCAACGTATAAATATTTTCTAACAATATGGCCCTCACCAACCTGCACAAGGCCGACATGGAACGCAAGCGGGACGCATTCATGGACCACCTGAAGAACAAGTACCCTCCTCAGCACTCCCTACCACCCTCTCCATCCCCCTCGCATGGCAGCATGAGGGGCACCGCAGAGAGAAGCGCACGTGAACAGGTATGTACGAGGTTTACCTTGTTTGATGTTGCTGGATCAATATTATTGTTAGTCATGGAACAACATTCTGATTCACCAATCATATTCCAGGGTTAAGTTTAGGTCTTTTTAATCAGTCAAACCCTCTGGTTTTAGGGGTAGTTAATAGTTATTTTGTTTTATTTTATTATTTTATTTTATTTGAATACTTCTAATACTATTTTAATACGAATTTATTATTATTATTATTATTATTAGGACTATTTTTTGTTTTACAAAGTTTATTTTAGTTTATTATTTTATAATAATAATAATAGCATATTATAT